TATATACATATACATATATACATATATATATATATATATATATATATATATATATATATATATATATATAGTGTATATTTTGAATTTGATGGCAGAGCACGTCAACCTCGTCCATCGTGAAGAAAGTTGATTGTTGCTTGCTGAACTTCGTTCTTTTTCAAAAATTCTTAAAATTTTTCCCTAAATTGAGTTGCTCCTTCCAACCCTTTTCTTCGGTGAGCGATCATCCAGTTTCCCCGTATTAGAAGAGAGCGAAAATTTTTGGTAGAAGAGGTTTACCTAGTAATTGATTTTTGTTCAAGTAATTTTTAAAGCTCATTGCTATATCCATTTCATCGTGTTATTATGGATCAGTTTTGTTGGTATACTGAAGTATGTCACTATACATGATCAATAAGTGTCAAAAAGTACGTTTTTTTGGTGTTATAAATTTTCCTTTCCTCTAAAGAGGGGAAAGGTATAATGTTCGCGAAAGTTAAAAACCAGCTCAGCCCTTCTTCCACTGAATGCCCAGTGCACTGAAAATAACGTACAAAAACTGCTCTTACCGAAAAACAGTAAGCGACGCGAAAATCATCAAAATCAAAGGTTTATAAGGAAGACTAAAAACAAAGAACATTACCTTTTTCTGACAGTTATCGAACTTAATGTCTCTGTCGCCATATCTGAAATGTAGTGCGCAGAAAGAGGAATGAAAATTTGTATAACCCTGGAGCCTTCAATTTTAGACTGGTTCCAGACATGAAACGTTTTTTGCACTTCAAGGTTTTTGCTTTTACACCAGAGTCATGGTATTTTAACGGTACTACTAAAGTCAATCAAACCCTTTATCAGTAGTCTAAGTTTAAGGCTGCCACAAAATTAAGTCATTAAAGGCCTAGAAAAGATCTGGGAACATGAATCACCAAGAAAAAAACTGGCACATTTTTGTACGCCGTAGTGTTTATAGAGTGAAGAAAATCAAGTGAAGGACTAAATGAGTGACTTTATCAAAAACTATTATAATCTCAAAAATTAAACGAAAACTGACATTGCACAACTCTTGCTATTGAGTAGAACTGCCTACGTGCTTTTTCTGCCAATCTCTCCCTCACTCCTCCGAGGATTTTTTTTGCGGTGGCCACCAACATTATATATATATATATATTTATATTTATACATACAGCTTAGATACTTAGATGGCATGTCTTCACTCGTGCAGGCCCCAGCACTGTTTCCATCCGTTTCTGTCTCTCGCTACGTCGTCCACGACGTTAGTATCGAACTGCGGTGGCGACGTTCGCGAGATTTAGATACCCATTAACAGCTGAGAATTCACCTGGTCCATCCATGCAATGAACAAGTCATCCCATGTGGTCAGTGGCCCGAGGACGTTTTGCTTCGTGAGAGATATTCCAGAGTTCTTGGAGACCATCTATCGTCTGTCCTTCTCATTATATGACCGACCCATCCATGTTTTGCCTCAGGGACGTATTCCGCTGGATCAAGAACGAGATATTGATCTCATATTTGGACTGCGAAATCCGACGAGATGTGAGTGCGACGGGTGTACTTCAGAAGACGTCGTACCAGCGCTCTGTGCTGATGTGCTCTGTGCTGCTTCTTTGGAGGGTCTTCGACGTAGCCACTGACGCCCTGACACCGTCATATACGACCTCTCTCTTTTCGTACGGTGAAAGATCTTCTTTTCCAGTTTTTGGCTGTGCATTGCTCGAAAGAGGCGGTGATCTCAGCCACTGCTGACGAAAGAAACTGAGACGTAGTAAGCGCCACCATCGGTTGGGAGAATGTGGTCGATCTCCGCATGAGTTGCGCCGCTAGGTGACTCCCGTGTCACCGCCGGTGTTCTTTCCTCATGAAGACGGAGATCTTGAGAAGTCGTGCGGCGGATAAGAGCCCAACAAGACGGTTACCTCTCATTGGATTCCTGATCCTATGTCCCATTCTTCTGGTATCCCATTCGCAACGAACTCGCCCTCGACAAATCGAAGAACTTCTTTTTATGGGTGACTTCTAAATCCTCATATAAGGCACCTACTTGTGAGCCATCAGCTGCTGATATTGGAGAGTTGCAGTGATGATAGTGATGGTGATTTGATGCAGAGGACGGATTCGAAGGATATTCAGGCGAGGTGATAGGATCTCGTGCGAATCGATAAGATGGACAGCTGGGTGTGCGACAAATCCAACGCCTCCAACGTTTCCTTGATGGAGCCTTCTCAGCACAAATGATGAGTGTGCCATCACTTGGCTGCCTCACGTCCGTCTTTGTGGGCTTTGTTTCCTGCAAGGCGATCACGGTGCCCTGCAGCGAGAAGAGCGTGGAGATCGGCGTTGGTGAAGACTGTCCTGGTGTTGTAGATGCAAAACATGAGACAGTCTCCATGGCGAGTCGTTGACGTGTCTTTTTGGTGCGAAATCCATGGCGTCTTATCTGACACTGGTTTTG